ATTTACAGTTGAGCAAAAGGCCGAAGCTTTCACATGTATCATCTTAAAACACACAGAAATACAGATACAACAAATATTATATAAGAATATCCTGATAAATGTATGTATACACTCTTGCACAATTTCATCAGAAATACAGATACAGCAAATATTATAAGAATATCCAGAACACATTTACATGACATTGTGTGTATACACATGCATAGTTTTATCATGTTTTATATACACTCTTGCACAATTTCATCAGGTAGGTATATGGATATCAATGAATACTAGGTTCTTTCTTAATCCCAAATCATTCCAATATATGCAGATACAGCAAAGATTACAAAAATAATCTTGATACATTAGTAAATACTATATACACTCTTGCATAGGTTCATCTGGTTGCTATATTCATGGATATTGGGTTCTTTGTTACAAAATTTGATCTGTTACAAAGAAAACAAAATCCACACAGTGACAGATACAGCTACATGTGTAAGATAGTACAGTTTTTGTATCTTTAGGCCACACCAATTTAATTTCTTGGTTAACGGATTTCTCTAGAAAAATAATGGAGCGGGCGGGCGAAAAAAAAAAACAGGCCTAGGCATCCTTTTATGGCCCAAAATGGTACGATAGGAGCCATGAAGTCAACACACCGGGCTGGTTAAAAATTTAAACAATGAATTTTGAACTTTTAATGATACCACTGCATTGAAAGATGGAATAACTCTAACAACTAGGAAGAAAAGGACTGTTTTCAACTGTTCAGGGCAAAATATGAGCATTTTGTAGTTGATTCTGAATCTTTTTTTTTGCAAATCAGAAAAAAATGAAGAGGCGAATCCTCTAACCAAGAAATTAAATTGGTGTGGCCTTACATTGGAATGGTCAAAGTACTGTACAAAATTGTTCCCACAAACTACATTAGACTAACATTACTACTAACATTAGACAGATCTTCTCAATGCTCTTATCCTAAGTGAATATACAAGTACTGCGCAAAAACCGTGCCTAAAAACTTATAATTACTAGTGTTGGGTAGATCATCTCAATGTCCTCATCCTGAGTGAATTTGGCACTAAAACTGGTTTGTTTGATTCACATCATTTTGAGCCAGTGTTGTCTGAAACAATATACAATATGATATACATTACAATATTATATTCAATATACATTACAATATACAACATAAATGCACTTTTCAAGAAATAGTACACATTATTACACATTAAAAAAGGGGGGTTGTAATTTTTGGTAGCTATTATCATCTTGAATAGAAACAAAATCAGTTCTACATGTATATCAATGTCCTAACATGTTTGAATGACTTGTTAATTATAACTACATGCATATATGATTTTTCATACAGTATACAGACCTGAGCTGAGGAAATGTACAGAACAGGTCACCATGTTGGGGACTCAGGGGCCAGATAGCAACAGACAGCTGGCTGTGGTGTCCGCTCCCTCAGGAACTAGCTTCCTATTGTACCTGTTTATGGGGAAATGGAAAACAGAGTTGCTTAATTACAACAGTTAACATAATATTGTTATAATTATAACTTCAACTATAGAATATGGGGGTAAAACTACTGATAAGTAGATTCATAAATTATTTGGTGCCATATAGGTTAATGCACACTTACATGTAAAATGGGTACATACATACAGTCATGTACATTATACTTTTATAGAAGTATGTGTACCAGAACACTGTGTTTAGTATTAGCCAAATAAGCTAAATTTAAAATGACTGTGCAAATAGTGCAGACTTGAAAAGTATCATTCACACATATCATCAATTCCCGAATATCAATGTAGAGTTCTATCAAATACTCAACATCTGATTAGTGACTCCCTTTTATGTTACCCTGGACTGGAGTACAGCATGCCTATAGGATAACCAATATAACTCACCTCAGCATCTTCAGTGTTCGGTGTTCCTCAGTAGCCTGCACCACAGCCTGGAACCCTGCAGGCTCCATGGAGATGTACCACAGGTCCAGCTCCTCCAGGGCAGGGAGTCTGGGTAGAGCCTCGGCCAGATCCATGGCAGCGGTGTCAGACAGGTGTGCAGGTGTGCCCCAGTGACCAGACATGTCCAGCCTGGTCAGTGCCGGCAGTGTGCTGATGAGCTGTGCGACCCTCCCCAGTCCGGCTCCTGTTACTCCCCTATTCCTCTCGATGTGCAGCACTTGTAGTGTGGTGTTATAGTGAGGGGCTGTGGTCAGACTCTTGTCACCAGGTGGGTTTCGTTCCATGTCCAAACTGCTGGGCTGGCAGAGTGTTTGCACCAGTGAGACAATCCCTGAGTCTCCTATGTCATTGCCTCTCACATCCAACACCTGTAATTGCACCAGGTGAGGCAGAGCTTTGATCAGGGATGATATTCCCCTGTCACCGATACCTGTGCTACTGAGAACCAACACCTTCATGGCTGTGAGGTGGTGGAGGATAGCAGCCAGGCATTCCAGCCCGGGGTCTCCTATGGCATTATCACTAATGTCCAGTTTGATCAGTCTGGTTAACTTACACAGTGCAGGGACCAGTGTGCGCATGCCTGTGGGGCTGATACCGGTGGCACACAGGCCCAACACCTGCATGGCAGTGAAGGTGTGGAGGACGGTGGTGAGAGATTCCAGCCCAGTGTCACTGATCTCATTATAACTTATATCCAGTTCTCTCAGTCCCACTAGGTGGTGCATGTAGGGAGCCAGGGATGACATGCCCACAGCTGTCATGTTGACCAACACAAGATGGAGTACAGCCAGGTGTGGAACACTGGACAGCCCAACCTGTAGGACTTCCATCCCAGCATCACCAAGGTCAGTGTTGTAAGAAAGGTCCAGCTCCTCTAACAGAGACATGTGTCTGAACCCCTGCACAAGTGGCTGGAGTGATGATGGTGTTAGTTTTGTGTCTGACAGACCCAGTGCCCTCAGACAGGGAACATTCTTCAGAACTGAAACCAGCCTGGCTGTCAGATCAGGTGAGTTAAACTGTCCTGATAGTCCCAAGTCCAATTTAAGTCCAGGAAGTGAAGTTGTAAAACACTGCTGTAGGTACTGAACTGTGTCTCTGCTGTCAGTGAGTCTAGGGATCTTAAGTATAAGCCTGTCTGGCAGGTTTGCTGAATGAAGATTTTGTATGTAATACTTAAGACCTGTGGCTCCTCTACTGTTAATGGAGCTGTCCAGCATGACAATTGGCAGGGCTTGACTGATACCCTGAAGCACTTCTGGTTCTTGTCTCTCACTAAGGATGTTCAGGCACAAGTGTGAAAACCTTTCATAGGTTTGGCAGGACTTTTGCACGTCTCGATCCATTGGAATGTCTTGATCCATTGGCCATTTTAATATTTCAAACTGTGCTGGTTGCAAGTGTGTGAACTCTCTGCTGCTGAGCTTGCTTAGTTCCTCCATCACAGCTTGTGCTGCCTGTGAGTCACAGCCACATGTGAATTGAAGCAGGTTACTGAGTTCAAATGCCTTGCTTATGGAGGTGAGCTGCAGCAGCTCAACAATGTCTTGGTTCACTTGAGCATGAGCTACATATCGTCCGGCCAGGAACTCTTGCATGGTCTTGTGTGAAAAGTTCAGCTGTTTCCTTGGATGCAATTTAGAGGAAGAAACCTCCAAGGAGACCACACCCAGCTTTAACAGCAACTCCCAATTAACCTTTTCTCTCTTTACTTCTGTAAGGTCAAGCAGGGTCTCATTCCTCAGCAGTGCCTCTAGTGCAAGCTTACCGAGCTGCAGTAATGACTCAGCAACCTCTGTAGGCAGCCCTTCTGTTGGCATGTCCACTCCTTCCCGCTCACAGCACTTTCTGACCAGACATGTCAGCAGGTTGTCGTACAGCCCCATCATTGTTCCAGTAGACACCATCTCTTGGTCCTCCTCCCACAGCAGACATACAAACATCAGGAACAATGGGGTTTGGATAAGATTGCTTAAGAATTCCTGGTTTTTAAGAGAAACAATAGATGTCTGATACACTTTGAAATATCGCCTGACGAACTCCTCTCCCAGCTCAGGGTTTCTTATGATGCTGAAATATTCCCGCACATATTCCACCATATGTTTAGGAGAGAAGCCCATGATGTGTACATGACAGTCTGGCCGGGTGTACTGCTGCACTCCTGCTGAGGGTCGGGAGGTGATCACAATCGTGCTGTTGGGGTACATCTTGCCAGACAGCAGTTTGGGAATGGCCTGCCCGGCTGCCCTGGCCTCAGGCCGCAGCTCATCATACCCATCTAGGAGGAAGAGCACACGGGACTCATTTCTCTCAAGGATTGCTTCAATGTACTTTACATTAACATCTTTTCTTTCAGGAACACACTGGTCCAACACCATCTCCTCTATGGTCTCCCCCTCTCTCACCTCCCGGAGTCGGATCAACAGGACGACGTCATGCCGTCTGCCCAGCTCTGTTTTCTGTGAGACGGTGTCTAGGGCTTCTTTGGACAGAAACGTTGTCTTCCCCCCTCCAGCTTCACTCTCAATCAGAATGCACCTTGGTGCTGTGGACAGTCCTGTGACATCTGGCTTGAACAAGTCGTCTAATGACTTAAGTTCTTTTCTTTGTTTTCCTGTTAGTGTTTGTATCAACTCTAACTGGGTGAAGATGTCACTGAGGCTAAGTGTGAAGTTGTCATTCCAGATCAGGGGCTTGAAGTGAGTCAGTTTCACCTTATAGTACGTCTTCACAGATTCCTGGAACAAGTCTGAAATAGGAAAGTCACGGTTATAAGATTTCAAACTTAGTGAAGAACCATTAATACATATATCAGAGAAAAATTATTGTCAGCTTGATCTACTTGTTAATGAACAGTGACAATTAACAGCAATAATCTCTTATTAAAGTGTTTCTCTAAACAAGGTGAGTTATTCTTTTGGCTCACATTTTGCTGGGGTAGATTCTCTAATTATGATATTATCTAAACTGTATGTCACAAAACCTACTGGCAGAAGAAAGTTATGTGATCATTTCTGACGTGAATTTTGATACCTGTTTGATTGACACCTGCCACTTTAGAAGGCCCTGCTCCTGCAGCTCCAACTGGAACTGGAACTTCTGGAAGTGGATAGAACTGAATTAAACATTTTTCCTAACATTAATAAAAATGCAATCCCCTGTTTCTTACTTCGTTGTGAACATTTCAAGATTTCTAGTTGTAGGATTGATTAATAGGTCTTTGGTTACTGTGTATATAAATTATGAGTCTTAGTGACCCCATTGATGTGTGGAAACCTTTGGTTTTCTCAGACTGGTAGAAATGACAGTTTAGATCAAATCAGCACAGTGTAGCCATACTAACAAAGTAAAGTAACCTGCACACTTATGTACTGTAACAGTTCAGTTGGACTTTTTTTGGTGTAACAGTTTTATATAATACATTCCAGGTATTTCAAGAAGATAAGCACTGACATAACAATTTGAAAAGGTGATTTAAGCACTTGAGCTAAGTTAATACTCAAGACTATGTAAAATTGATAAAGTAGCCTGCCCTCCCTTTTTAAGATTACAAACAACTCTTAAAGACTTTTGTAATCAATTAGTTGGTAAGAGAAAAGGTTATATACTGATGCATTTATGCCAATCAGGATCTTAAGTAAATTTTATTACACATCAAAACACTGATTTCATTTATCAGAATGGGAGAAGACATTTTGGATTTAAAGTCAACAATTTCCCCACCTGCACCTCCAAATGCCTGGAGGAATTGCTGATGAGACTCTTCCCAGTATCTGGACTCCAGGAGTTTCTGCTTGAGTTCTGCAGCCCGACGGAACTCGGCTTCTGACATCCGCAGAACATCCGCAATCTGATCTGCCCAACGTCCGACATCTACAGAATCGTCACCCGTGATTCTGAGAACAGAGTGGTGGAATTCTGGTATAACCTCATGGACCAAGTCCGCTAGTCCTGATTGGTCAGATATGAGGACCGGCACGCCGGCTGCCATGGCCTCCAGACCGACCAGTCCGAAGGGTTCTGCACGGGAGGGCATGAGAACCAGGTGGGCCTGCTTCATGTGTTGGCAGACGTCTTCCTGGGTGCCGTGTGGGAGAAGGGTGGGGATCAGTTTTCCTGAATTGATGCTGGTTTGGAGAATGCTCTTACTGGCCTGATACTCCTCTTTACTGACACCACGAATCCGCAACTTGATTCTGTCCTGACTCCTTTCTACCACTTTTGACAAGACCTTAGCTGCCAAGTCAAAGCCTTTCACCCTCTCATCTGTTGTCACCCTACCAATTAACAGAACAACTTTCTCACTTGTTTCTCTGTATTCAACTGTAGTGTTCAGGAACAAGTCTGATGGTTTGGGCAGGAAGAGGTAGTGAGTTGGCCTCTTGTCTTCAGGAATTGCACAAAATGAGTTTACAAAGTGGTCTTGTGTTCTGTGTCCCACAGAGAACACAGTATCTGCCCTCTCCGCATCTTGTCTGATGGAGTCTTCCTTCTCACCAATGCCCATGGCCTTCTCATCTTCCTTGTACTTCTCTGTGTCTTCAGGTATAGCCTGGGTGACAAGACTGAGGCTTGCTTGGGGGAAACGCTGTTCCTTGATAGTTGCTGCTGCTCTGCTGGTGACCCCAGCATGACCCACAATCCACCCTACATCCTGTGGGAGTCTGTCATTGGGGTAGCGATCCACATGGTCAAAGGTCAGCCAATCCAGACAGGGTTCCCTTGTGTCTCCCTGACTGCGGGTTGGGAGGATGAGCTCCACTCCATCAGCCTCAGCACACTTTCTGTCCTCCTCTGTATCTTCCAAAACAGTACTGTAAACTTTCCTCCCTGCTCCTGTTAGGGTCTGGGCCACCTGTCGGCTGACGGGGGAACTGCAGTCCTCAGTTGTGGCATACTGGCCACTCACCAGGAGAACTGAGCTGGACTCTGCAGTTTCACCTGAGTGGCCAGCCGCCCCCTGGCCCTCAGCCATGACTCACACAGGTGTCAGCTACATCATTGTAGGAACACCTGGAACAGACAGGTGTGTGTCAGGTATGTTGTAACAACACCTGGGACAGACAGGTGTGTGTCAGGTATGTGGTAACAACACCTGGGACAGACAGGTGTGTGTCAGGTATGTGGTAACAACACCTGGGACAGACAGGTGTGTGTCAGGTATGTGGTAACAACACCTGGGACAGACAGGTGTGTTTTAGGTATGTGGTAACAACACCTGGAACAGACAGGCGTGTGTCAGGTATGTGGTAACAACACCTGGGACAGGTGTGTGTCAGGTATGTGGTAACACCTGGGACAGGTGTGTGTCAGGTATGTGGTAACAACAAAGGTGTGTGAAACAATATCTTGTAGCTTAAGTATCAATTGATGTACTAGTAATTTCGAACCGCATATTTTGAAATGGATTTACAGTATACACAAGATACAGTATGCAAATTAGGATTTGGCCATAGTTGCCATAGTGATGGGGTAAATACCTGATTTTTTTTAGTATTTATCATTTATAATCAGATGGAGATAATTTCTGTTTCAGTATCGTTTAATCTTAGAACAAAAATAACGTTAGTTTCGTTACCCGAGCGTGTGAGATGGTCTCATCATATTTAGTAATTTTTTTTGGGGGGGGGGGGCAGGCGCCAAAACTGTTAGTACTGTAATGTTCAGTAGTTCTTTTCAACCTTTTGATTTCGTCCCTTCCAGTGATTTGAAGAAAAATACAGCTTTGCAATTGAACTTGAGTTTGGTAGGTTTGAAACTTCACTTGTAAATTTGTCTTTAACTGACTGTTCGTCCTAATTTTACCGCAAATCTAGATAGCAAACAAAGAAAAGTTACGACCTTATAAAGTACCGTTAGAACTCAGCAGTTTTGTGTTCTGATCTCTCTTCTCGACACGATATTGCCGACAAATCACACATATCTGGTGGATCCTGAAACACTGAACAGTCGACAGACGGGATCTGTACTTCCTTTCTTCATGGATGTCGCCAGAAAACTTCCTTCAACTTTTGGAACCGACTTTCCGGAACTTTTTACTTCCCCTTCGCCATCTTGGAACTGGGGACAGTTTATTCGACAGTGGGGGTGCTTTCGAGTGAAAAGGCGAAAAATAATAACCTTTGCAAAATAAGCAAATTTTTACGTGAGCTAAAGGCATACGATTGTATCTTATATGGTCTGTGATTTAATATACTGGTTGATTAGCTATTAATGAAACGCGATCTTCCTTCTACCCCTGCGAGGTGAAAAAATGGACTGTTCCGTAAAGGTACCGCCTGAGGGCAAGTTTTTGGCGGCGCCTCTGGAGCGGAGCCTATGTTGTAGCGTTGGGTTCGGTTTAAAATTTATTTACAATTCCCTTGTGAAAGATTGACTTTTGTCCACACTTGCTATACTATGTGTAGCTAGAATGTTTTTGCAGGAATTCTAGCTAAGAAAATCATTGTTTCTAGTGATGGCAACAAATTCTCACAAGGCAACAACAACACAATTTTATGGATGACATCCTGTGTAAGTTTCAAAAGTGGTTCTCAAGAGCAAAGAAAAAACAACGTTGTAACAAGAATTGAAGCAATAAAACATTGGTATCAAAGCCTTTTATTCCTATATTCCGTTAGTGCAGAAAGTAAGTGTATAGCCTAGTATCACTACAAATATATCCAAGTCTACCAAAATGTATTCTCACATTTCCAGTATTTTCATTTGGACCAGGCTAATTGCCACCTTGCATAATTCTGTTTAAACCTATCAAACCACAATGTTCTTGTGAGAAATGGTACTTTTTTTT